CCTCCCGCAACGACAGGGCCCTCCTCGCGCGGGCTGTGACACGGCGGGGGGGGCCGAAGCACGGCCTGCAGGTCAAGACGATGGACAGCCAGATGGCGATGAACGTCGCGAGCAGCGACGCCCCTGCGCGGCCGGTCGAGATCCTTGTGCCGGAGCTCCATCCCGACTCGGACGCGCCGCGGGGCTACATGAAGGCACTCCCCACTAACCACGTCAAAAGCTACAACGAGAACCGCCGTAAACGCCTGCGCGAGATTATGCAGCGCAATCGTGAAGAGCAGGACCGGCGCCAGCGAGAGGAGCTCCTCAAAAAGGCACGACAAGAGAGCCTTTGCGAGAATGACTGCGCGATGGAGTCCGCCACGGCGGGAACCCCCGGCCTCTCCACGGAGGTGCCCGATTTTTCCGACATCCATATGCCGGCGGAACTCCCACGTGATGAGTACGGCGTTAAGCGCGGCAACTTTCCTCTGGGGGTGCGTTTTATTCGAGATGCGATCGCGGCCTGCGGGGGGGCTGTGGAGTTGGACGTTTTGGTGAATCGCTTCTCTACTCTCGCCAACAAGGAGGAAGTCGCAGAGTTTGGTGACGTGCGTGCGTTTTTGACCATTCACAGTCCAACCTTTCGTTTGGAACTGGAAAAGGGCCAGTGGATTGTTAGGCTGGTAGATCCCTCTCGACTTCCGGGCAGAGGGGAGGGGATGGTGGAGATGACCTGGGAGGTAATGACGTGTCCACTTTGCTCTAAGGTGATAAAGGGCCGGAACTACGCTTGGCACATGAACTGCAGGGGTTGCATTACTGCCCAGATCGCACTTGGACTGCAGGGCGATTTCCAAGGCCGTGGCCCCATCGCTGAGCTCGCCTTCATAGCCAAGGAGTTGATCAGCCACAGCGACAGCTTCGACGACGGCGATGTAGACGCCTTGGCGGAGGGCTTAGCCCATGCAAGGAACGTTCGGCGTTTTCGTCTCGCCTCGCCTCGCCAATTTGCGCCCATCCTAAAGGCCATACGTGTCGTGCGAGATCGATGGTTAGATTCAAAAGGTGTCTCTGAAGTTGATAGCATCGCCATAGACAGCACGGACGCTTCCGTCGTACACCTTTTCCGTATCCTCGGTGAAAGCATCCATCGATTGCCAATCGCGTGGATCGAGACGGGTGATGTCATTGACATGTGCCATCGCTTCACTGACCACGTCTTACGACCCTACGACCCCCCACCGCGGCCGGCGGATCCTCGTATTAGCTTGTACAACACTTACCCGGGCTTTTTGCTTTGTGAGAGCGAGGTAGACGACGAGGACGACCCTAGCGCGGACGAGGATGAGTTTTCGGACGACGAGGCGCCGACCTTCACTTTCGCGGCGCCGGTGGAGATTGTGGAGTCGCTCTTTACCGCGGGGTTTGAGCGTGACACGAAGCGTCTGCAGCACCGAATGCGCACCGCTCCGCCGATGGCGCTCCACCGCGTCTTGAAGGGGGATCGTAACCAAACACAGAGTGAGATGTATTCCGACATCCAAAGAGATCAGCCTGGCCAATTACCACCTACTGGGAAAGTTCGGTTGGTATAAGTAAACGTAAATGGTAGTGTCATTTTTTGAAAACAACATGCATCTCGACGCCAAGTAGAGCTAAGGGAGGTCTTCATGCGTTGCATGTGTGTATTTTTTAAAGCATTTTACTGTTTTACATTTAGTGACTGGAGGAGGTAGAAAATGACATGATATGCTTTTTTTCAAATTTCTTCGTATATATATATTTATATACCTTTATATATTCTTATAAAGTTTTAACTCATAATAGAAAAAGTTTGCTAGCCTATCATAGCATAGGTTAGTTACTATCTAGCAGTAACACAATCAAAAAGAATAAGTCCAACAGCGGGCCCTCATCATCCATTGCTAACGAACGGTTACATCATAAATCACATAGCCTTTACTTCTTAAACACATTAAGGAGGTAAAGGTGCAGTGGAAGGTCCATAACTTTTGCTTTCCTCTACTTCAGGGTTCTCTTTAAACGAGTGATATTGGGTTATTTCCCTAAACACTCAACAAAAGGCGCGATAAGCTAAAAAGGATAACCAGCGCCCAAAAATCATTTATTATCGAGGCAGCGGGCCGTCTTAATAAAAAAAAATGCACAGAGAGGACAAGCGTGAGGCATTTTCTAGTTCCCTTGGAGGTGCCATATCCACAGTAATTGAGTACCCTTTAGACACCATCAAAGTACGCCTGCAAGATGACGGAAAACGCTACGGTAGCGCATTAAAATGCATCAAGAGTATTTACCAGGATGAAGGGGTGTTAAATGGTTTTTTTCGCGGGCTCCCTGCGCCTGTCATAGGGTTTGCTGTTGAAAGTGCGACTTTATTTCTCGCCTATCGTAAAGCTTTAGAGTCTTACCAGCAGCTTGTTTATGGTCGTGTTGTGGAGCAGGACACAGAGTCTTACGACGCTGTGGGGGTTTCAGGATCCTGCGCCGGCCTTGTCGTTGCGCAAGCACTGACACCAGCGGAATTAATTAAGTGTAGAATGCAGATTCAGAACACTCTGCCTGTCAAAGAACGCATTTATAAGAACTCATTTGAGTGCTTTTTGACCGCCTACATGCGTCGCGGCATTCGTGGACTATTTAGGGGGCATGTCGCCATGCTTTATCGAGAGGCGATTGGCTGCTTTTTTTATTTTTTGGCCTTCCAAAGTGTTGTTCGATCGTTTTTATTAGAAGATCAGAAATTTACTGATGCCTCAACAATGGTCCACTTTTTGGCGGGTGGCTGTGCTGGCACCGCGTTCTGGACATCTATTTATCCTATCGATATTATTAAAACCAAGCAGCAAGCCAAGAAGGCGGACTACCGCAAGCGCGGCTTCCTTCAGAGCTGTGCGTGGCTGTATCGGAAAGAGGGACTTAGGGGATTTTATCGTGGTTACTGTGTTACCGTTTTCCGTGCCTTTCCCGGGAACGCGGTATTTATTGCGGTCTATGAACAGATGAGCTATATTTGGGATGTAGTACACAGAACTTCACCTATGCACACCGTACACGTATAATGTGCGGTACGCTCTTCTTATTTTTTTGATGCTTTTTTCATGACTTTTATCCGTCTCCAGGCATCTCAGCACTTGTCTCAATGACATCAGGAGGTCAAATTTAAACTAACCGTAAAGGGAAAATAAGAGCTATATTAACAGTTGAATGAAATCATTTCAAATTCAAACCCATTGCCCTTCTAAAGATTGTTATAATTCATGTTGGTAAGCGCTCATATTAAATGAGTTTCAATATCGTGATGTGCCTATATTAACTTTTAATTGGGCTCAATTCATTTGGATTTGTTATCTTCTTTTTGAACAATTCTTCACACGTGTAAAATTTACAGTATGAGTAATATCTTTGAAAAATATATTTATTTATTTTGCCCTGTAGCGTGCACACTATACGGTCTTTTTGCACTATTTATCAGATAACTTCGCTCACATGCGTTATTTTTAGTAATATTTGTATCTTCATGCCGAAAATCATTTCCCCAATACTGTTCTGAAAGTGCACACAGGCTAATGAGATATAAATGCGATCTATAACCTTGTAAGTAAACTGAAGAGTAAAAAAATAAGAGTGGTAAAGATATTAATGCGGTCACTTTCCAAGTGAGCATCTCTAAGCCTTGCACCGCCCTAATACTTCCCGGTTAGGAAATGAGTGGGTCATGAAAATTCCTTTACCATTTCATATTGCCCCCTTTTTTTTCGTTCTCATTACTGGTCATCTATACCCTAATGCAATATGTTTAAGGTGCTTTACAATTGATTAGTTCATATATTTTCGGACCATAGCTCAGGGTCTGTAGAGAAAAGAGCGTAATTAAAGCTGGAGAGTAAATTAGAAAAAATCAGTGTGTTATCACCATGTCTCTTAAATTGGAATCAGAGTTTACCGATGGCAGCCTTGGGAAGGAAAACATCATGTTCAAATGGCATCCACATCGACCTTTGATTGCCGTGACGGGAAGCAAAGTGAAGATGTTCATTTTGGACCGTGTTGGTAAACTCCTCCATCAGTTCAGCCTCGCGAGTGTTGTGGATTTTGAGTGGGACCGATTTAGTGACACCTTAGGTCTGATTACTAGCCGTACGAGCACGCTACACCTTTACTCCCACGAAACCTCCAAGGTGGAGATGGTGGAGACGAAATGCAAGGATTTAACGCTTATTCGCTGGTCCAAACGGCTCTCACTGGCGGCCATCGGCACCCAGAAGGGGACGGTGGTGATATTGAACCAAGTGACCAAAAAGCGCCTGCCGGTCTACGGCACACACTCACAGGCCATTATCGACGCGGTTTGGACGGAATTGCACAATCGTCTGGTCCTGATCAGCGCCGACAACACGATGTCCATCTCCGACTCGGAGGGAAACGTCCTGTCGACTGTGGCCCTGGAGGCCTCGCCGCTCTCGTTATCCTTGGTGGAGGCGATCCCGAATTCGGACTCTATGCCGATCTCCGTGGTGGCTTGCAACCTCGGGTCCTCCCTGCACATGGCAAATTTGTGCACCGGGGAGGTTTTCGCCGCGAAGTTCGACGAGAGCACCGGCTTCATCAGCGCCTTGACCAGCACAGGGAGCGCTTTTTTACTGGGCTTCTCCACCGGGCTGGTGGGGCTTGCCGGGCTCGGGCCCAACCAGCTTACCATGACGAGCAGTTCCACCATGTCTAAAAACCCTGTTAGTGGGATTGCGTTTGGCAAGGGTAATGGGTTTGCCGCGGTCTCCTGTGATGGGAGTCTGCGCTTTATTAGCGTCGCGGGCAAAGACATTGGGGAGGAGAAGAAATTTGATATCGCAATGCCAACCGAGGCTAGTTCTTTTGCAAAGGCTGACTGGAGCTCCGATGGACAGTCGATCGTGATTGTGAAGGGTAATGGAAACTTTTACATTTACAGTATTAATGTGCGCGACATCAGCACGTCATGGGCAAAACTCTTATTTTACCTCACATCGTCGCGCGTAGTAGGTGTGAGGGACATCCATGGGGACAATATCCTGTGCACAATGATGATTGATATTGAACCTCAACGCATGGCCGCCGGAATGGGGTCTTTTGCTGTGTATGCCGACAATGAGGCCCACTACTACGATTACCACGTGCCGCAGACGGCGATGTTGGAGCCACCAGATCCCAGCAAAGGCCTCCCAGCAAGGCGGGACCGGTTAAAGCCCGATGTACCCGATGCCAAATTTATTCGCACCGTCGAGTATCCAGTCAAAATTACCGATTTGAAGGTGAACTCCACGTTTGCCGCGGTGCTCTATGATGGCCACGTCCGTTTACACGTTATTCGTGATCCGAATGGCTCCATGATGACGCTCCCACCCGATTCCGAACACAAAATTTTGACCATCGGCCTTTCGGAGGCGCTCTTTGTTTGTGCGACGAGTGTGAAGGTCTACATTGTGGCGTTGCCCAAAATGCAGATCGTGGCCGAGTATGAGCCTCGCTCCGGCCTCAAGCAGGGGTTTCTCAATCCTTCCTGCACGAGGATGGTGTACATTGACGATAACAATGACTTGTTGTTGTTAAATCTCGTCACGGAGGTTGCCTTTACCGTTCGCGGGTATGACAAGCGATTCAAATCCATCTTGTGGGACTGGGCCGATCCAACGGTTTTTGCAGCCTACAACCACGAAAAGTTTATGACGTTTGTCTACAGTCCTCACAGCACGCACGGGCCGACTTGTGAATCGATCACCGAACGACACAAAAAGGACGAACCGCTTACTTCACCCATCCCCACCAATTGCGTGCCGATTAGTCTATTTAGCGGCGTGGTGGCTTATCAATCCAAAACTGGAATACTCAGCAGGTTGGAGCTCCAGACCCACCACGAGATTAATGCCCGTGGTCCCAATACCACCGCCTTCTACAACAACTTCTCGCTAAACCGCCTTCGCTGGTGTTCGCAGAATATTTCGATGCTCAAAGAAGCCGACGAACTCGTGCTCCGGGCTTTACACTTTCTCGATGTCGAGCTCGCGATACGCATCTACCGCCAGCTCTCGCAGCCGAGTTTAGTGCTGTACCTTGAGAAGATAAAACACATCCAGGAGAAGAACCTTCTGATAGGGCATATTTCCATGATTATGGGGTCCTTTGATGACGCGCAGAAGTCCTTTTTGCACTCCTCGCAGCCCCTGCGGGCGCTAGAAATGCGGCGGGATTTGATGCACTGGGAGCAGGCGCTGGGGCTGGCGAAGGAGCTCGCCCCGGGTGAGATTCCCGTCATCTCGAAGGAGTACGCCCAACAGCTGGAGTACCGCGGGGAATATATGAAGGCGCTTCAGATGTTCACCAATGGTCATCGAAGCGCGCCGACCGGACATGCGAGCACGGAGCTCTTCGCGGCCCAAGAGGAGGTGCGGAAACATAATACAGAATGTCTAAAAGGGGTGGCGCGGTGTAATTTGCGTACCGGGCGGCTAAACGAAGGCATGCCGATTGCGCTGGATATCGATGATAAGGCCTTTGCCTACGAGTGCGCGAAGCTCTGCGAGGAGAATAAACGCTTTGAGGCGGCCGCAAGGCTCTACGAGCGGGCTGGCGAGATCGAGCAAGCGGCGATGCTTTATATTGAAAAGTGCAATAACCTCAAGGCGGCAGGGCAGCTTCTGCCCCAGATCAAGTCTCGAAGCATCATAGGCCGCTATGCCAATGGGAAGGAGATGGAAGGCTCCTTTAACGAGGCCGAGCAAGCGTACACGCAAGCTGAGGATTGGGATAACGTGGTGCGCATCAAAGTCCAAAAGCTCAACGATTTGCAGGGGGCCTATGTAATCGTTCGACGAACACGATCCACCAACGCCGCGGCGCTGGTGGCGCGAATGTGCCAAAGCCGAAACGAGTTTGCCTCCGCCGTCGAGTTTTTAGTCGTCGCGAAGTGCACCAAAGAGGCCTTTGAACTTTCTAAACAGCATAATTGCTTAAGCAATTACGAAAATGCCTTACTCAATCAAGTGGTCCTCAAGGATGGGGTCGCGCCCGTGGCGAAGCAAGATGAATTTAACATTCTGGCCACTTACTATGATGAGATCCGGAAACCTGGACAGGCGGCTGTTTTTTATCGTTTGGCTGGCAATTCGACGCTAGCGTTGAAGAAGTATATCGAGTCTGGACAGCCGGAGGACATCGAGAAAGCGATCGAGGTCGTGGGCAAGGCGCATAGCGATGGCTTGACCAGCAAGCTCATCGACTTCCTGATGGGCGACACCGATGGCCAGCCCAAGGACCCGTCCTATATCTTTCGGCTTTACATGGCGCTAGGCAGCTACGAGAAGGCCTCCAAGACCTGCGTTATTATCGCCGCACGGGAACAGGAGATGGGGAATTACAAAGCCGCGCACAAGACCCTTATTGAGGCCTGCCGCATCCTGCGTGAAAAAAGCATCCGCGTCCCGAGCGATCTACGGCGTTCGTTGATGATTCTTCACTCCTATATTATTGTCAAGGATCTCATTACCGTCATGCACGACGAGACAACGGCAAGCCGGATGCTGCTGCGGGTCGCGCACAACATTCAGAAGTTCGAGAGCCACGCCGCGACGATTATTTCCTCCACCGTCCTACAGTGCGAGAAGTCGGGCTTTGCGCATTCCGCTTTCCAGCTGTCTTGCCTGCTCATCCAGAACGAGGAGTATCGCACGCAGCTGTCCGAGAAGAATCGACGAAAAATCGAGAGTATTGTACGCCGGGGCGGAAAGGAGGCGGCGGTGGACCCGGTGGAGAGCACTAAACCCTGCCCTTTTTGCGATCAGCCGGTGCCGGAGAGCGAGCTGGACTGCGGGGCGTGCCGAAACACCCTACCCTTCTGCATCGTCACCGGCAAACACATCGTGAAGGGCGATTTCACCACCTCGCCATGCTGTGGATTTCCCGCCATTTACTCCGCGTTGGTTAAACGGCTGTGCGAAAAATCCATTTGCCCGATGTGTGAATCCGCGCTGGACGTTAATAAAGTTCAAGCACAGAGTAAAACGAACCTGGAGGTGTTTTAATCGGACCCTCAACAATGTGAGTACGCATGACTTGCACGTGTATATTTATTCGTCGATTTTTTTCAGTTATTTATGTTTTTTTTTGTTGTTTACCTGTTTGAAAGAATATAAATTGGTGACACTCAAAAGATACAGCCAAATCAAAATCCATTCGTTGCTGTTTTCATATTTAGCGCGCTCCGTGAATCGTTTAAAGTACATGGCATGTATATAACACAAAGTTTGCTACATCTCTTTTGTTGTAGCACAATTAAACATTTTCATTATGAGAGGTTTTGATTTTTTTTTGTGAGCATGCACAATAATAACATTAAAAAAAAAATCTTGTCTATGACAAAATGATCAGTTATTGAATTTCGACCAGTGCTGCATTTTTTATTTATACACACCTTCAATTCTTCTTTTCAGGTCACGAAAGAGAATAGTTTCATTTTTTTATCTAAGCGAAATACGTTTTTTTTTTGGTTATTTTTGTTAAGATTTTACATCACCTATTATACCAAACAAGTACAATGGCGCTTTATCCTCTTGAAAACAATCCCGAAGTCTTGAATCACTACATTGAACGGCTTGGCGTCCCCCGCCCGATGCTTCATTTTGTGGATGTATACGGTGTATCGGAGGAGTTGCTCGGGATGGTTCCAGGACTCGTCTTTGCGGTGTTATTTGTTTACCCCATCACAAACAAAATCGAGGTCGGTCTTCGGCTCATGTCCGAAGAGCAAAAGGTCAAAGTAAGAGGGCTCATGAAGCGCTCGCCGATATTTTTTATGAAGCAGGAGGTCGAGAATAGCTGTGGGACGGTCGCTCTTCTGCACGCGCTGCTTAATAATTATAATTCAATTGGAAATATTAAAGACGATAGTATCTTGGTGGAGCTGCATGAAGCTCCACAGTACGAAGAAGCGCGAGAGAGCCCTGAAATATTAGGATCTCTCGTGAAGGAGAATAAATTTCTAGCGGCTGCTCATACGGAAACCGCCTTCGAGGGAGATTCGGAAAATAGACCTATCAACACTAGTATTGATCTGCACTTTTCGTGTTTTGTATGGGCTTGGGACTTTTGCGTTGAGTTGGATGGACGGAAGGAACGACCTCTTCTTCATGGAGCATGCAGCTCCCGTGAGGAATTTCTACGAGAAACGGCTAAAACAATTGAGAAGCGGATGAGCCTGGACACTTCTTTACAAACCTTCAGTATCACAGCGCTTGTTTCCACATCTACCTAAACTAAGGCTTTCCAATAGTTTTGTTGTCTAGCATGGGAGGATTTTTTTCAAATCATTTTTATTCTAACTAGTCCTAATAAGTTTTCAAAATGCCATTGAAAAAATATTATATTCATATACACACAGTCACAAAGAGAGGCACAGCGACAGTTTATATACATATATATATCTATATATATGTTTATGTATTACTTTTACTATCGTATTTTTCATGATGTGCTTTTGATCACAAGCTATATTCTCAAAGATTGCGTTCACTTGGAAGTCATCCTCTTTTTGGTGTGCACTCCATTTTTATATGTCAACATTATTGATCGGTAGCAAAGGGGTAAAAGGTGTATGATCAGTATGTCATTTTTCTCATTTTTGTTGTTGTTGTTGTTGTGTAGTCTTCTATTCCTACTGTACTTTTTTCAATGGGGAGGACTCTATTTACAACATTCAATAATCCCTATTTTTTTTTGGTGTTTCTCATTATCACATATATTAGGGGGAAAGAAGGCCACTTATACCTTTGGGGGGGTAGTTCCTACACAAGAAGATATTGTGCGCTTTAAGTCTTCAGAAGTTTTTATAATGCAAAGACATTTCACAACCTTTTCAAGCAATTTTCCAATATCAACAATATGGACTCACCGGCGCCTGCAAACCTTCAGTTCTTGCAATAAAAGCGGTACAATCAAACAGAAGAGTACCAAGGCTTTAACCAGACTTGATCACGAAGGCACACATCTAGGGAGCTCATTTCACTTCTCCGTCAATATAAATAAATTGCCCAAATTTAGTACTTTAGTTGAGAAAAAGTATGATGAAATACTGAAATCACCATCGTATGTTGCGTTTGACCAAAACCTTGACGCCTCGTTTCATCTCTCTAGCGATAAACATTCCCCAACCGATGCCCTTACCACAGCGAGCATAGGCACGATAGACAAAAAAAACCCTTTACGATCACCCAAATTCTTAGCCACGAAGTTTACAAACAACAATTGTAATATAAACGAAATAAAGTCGCACTTTAGACGATTGTATCCCCAACTCAATTTCGGTTTCAATCACTCGATGGTGGAGAATGCGGAAGGGATTAAAACGTACACCATTAGTGTATATTTCACCTCCCAGAGGACGCGTCTCCCCCTTTCCGCGGCGGAGTCCGTCGCCCTCCTAAAGTTCAAGGGCCAATCTGTCGGGGTGGGGTATTTTCGGACGTTAGACAAGGCCCTCCAGCAGGCCTGCGCGGCCTCCGGGGTTTCCCCGCCGTCCAAAACCCCCGACAAGGGCGAGGAGCCTTCCACGTCTTTGCTTTCCTTGTACTTGGAAGTCCTGCGTAAGCGGTGCGGTTCGATGCGGATAGTGTTGAGCGTCGAGGCCCACGAGGACGACAAACAGGTGCGGATTACCTTTCGGGATGGCCCGCGCGAACTCGCCTCGGCCGACGGAGGGCGCGTCTTCACGCTGAGTCTTCTTTTGGCGGTCGTCGAGGCGGCGGCGATCAAGAAGGATGCGGTGGGGGCCGCGAGGATTGCCCAAGGCATTTTGAACGCCCCACCGATGATTGTCCTTTCGGATGACCATATAATGCTCAAGTCGATATTACGCTTTCTCATGAGGTATCACTATGGCATCACCGATGACGATATCGCATTTGAGATGAAAACATTAACCGGTTTACTGAATTCCTGTACGATTTGGGTGAAGCTCCCTGCGTTCCTTCGATCGATGGGCTGCGAGATTGTGTGGGATTGCAAAACGCAGGAGTCCAAGGACTGGCTTCGCCTGGACTCCTGCATCGCCAACACTAGGAAGCTTGCCGGGAAGTTCGTCTCGGTGTTGGTTCTTGAGCGGCACTTCAGTTCGATCTTTCAAGAGCAGCTTAGGGTTAACCCCCAAATCAAAGAATTATTAACGCAGGCGAAGGAAATTCAGTGCACTACCGCCGTCCCGAACATTTCGCAAGGTACAGGCCAGCTTCTCGAGTGGGCCCTACGGTGTGAGGGGAAGAAATTTGAAATGGAGTTCACCTGCCTTCAACGAAACACCACCTACAAAGATTTTGGCGTGCACACGCGGATCATATGCTGGAGGACGAGTCTTAGCATTTTAAAAGGAAACGATCGCGAACTCGTCCTGATCGCGTACGATTTAAAAAAGAAGCAAAGCGAGCTCAAGGCGATCTCGGCCGCGCTCGCCAAGCGCTTCAATACGATCTGCGGCAAGGCGATTACGCGAGCGAGGATAATGAATCTTATTGATGACGACGGCAACCCAATACCATGCGAAGGTGTGGTGATGTTAGCCCCACCGACGGCGAAGCCGGACAAAGACGTTCCCTTTCTCGGCGAGGATCCTTTTTTGGACCGAATAAAATCCATCCCCGAGCAGAATTTGTCCACCCCCCCGCCGCCGTCGGCGCCGTCTTTGTTGTCCTTGCTCAAACAGTTCAGTGCGGCGTACGCCCAACACGCCGAGGAGGTTCACACGCACGAGATGGTGGAATTCAATGAACGGACGGCCCAGTGGGTGGCGCTCCTTCGCACCGCGAGCAAACCCAAACCCCTTGGCCCGGATCCCCCTCACGCGATCGATCCAGCCTTTCCAGCGGATCTGATCACTATGGACTCCTTCGTTCTCGCTTCCGGCTCCTCACGGATCCAAGCCTGCGCTCTTCTCCAGATGTATATTCTTCGGTTCAAAAAAATATTAAAGATGCCCCACACCGATTTCCATTTCGCCTTTGTAAAGTCCCAACCCGTCCAAGAGCTTTTAAATTCGATCATACGGCTTTTCAAAGCCCTTCCGGTGGTTTGCCCCGACGACAACATCATCGAGCCCGTCTTAGCGGCCGTCGGGGCGCTTTATGGTGTGGGCGTGGTGATGCACATGAACATACAAATGAAGCTCTTCTCCGTCACGTTGTCAAGCTTCACGACAAAGACGATGGGGCCCCCAACTGAAAATGCCGCGCTGGGAGAGGGCGAAATGGGGGAAAGCGCGGTGCGTTTGCACACGTCGGAGGCGCCCACTAAGGCTTTGCTATTTCTTTCCCAAAGGCACAGTCAAACGCTTAACAATGCCATCATCGAATGCTGCCGCGATATACACAACGCACATATTGTTCCATGCATTCAAGCGTTTAACCATTTGCCACTTTTTATATCGAAGTTTGAGCTCGCCGTGTGTCCTAAGTCCAAGTTTTACGATCTCCTGAACAGGGTCGCCACTGAAATAAAAAATACGTCGTCCGACGAATCCTGCACCCCAAAGCTCATAGTCTACTATACCCAATTAGCCAAAGAGCCCTTTAAAGTTGACTTTTTGATTTTGTCTAACGACAAGGAGGTTGTGATGGAGACGGTTCAATCGAATAACATTCTTTTGGCACTTCAGATCCTTTATCAAAAGATTTGTATGGAGATCGGCTCAGAGTTCAGGATAAAAACGAAAAGTGGGGTTTCATCGTCCCACCTATGCAAACTGAATCTATTAAAGAAATTATGTAGCTTCACTTTGGGTCTGCCACTACACTTTGAAAATTTTTATGTGAACAAAGAATGGAGATGCCGTATCAATTTAGAACTTAACTCACAACACCGAATTCACCTTACATGCAAAACTTCGATACGCAAGAATGAGGCGTTTGAAAAAGCTGTCGCTGGGGCTCTAAAAATGTACTTCGAGGACGCTGAAGAAGCTAGCGAAAAATCTTTAAATTTCACTACCATTTCGGATAACTACCTTTATCTAGTCAACTAAAAGTGTTTATCAGAAAGAACTTTAATGTTGTAGCGTGTTTTTCATATCGTTAATCAAGGATTTCTTATCCAGTCTCTTAGGTATGTTGACGCATCTCTTCAGACAAGTTTTATGAGGTATTTTTTCCTATTTCCCCATGTTTCTCATACCTTTTTGTATTTTTTCACCCATCTAAACGACGCACGCAGCTCCATGAAAGTGCGTAATGCATGCGGTTCCTTGCATTCAATTTTCTTTTAGCCTTAAACGGTATTGATACACTTCTCTTTTATTTGGCGATTTCTTATTGTGATTCTTGCCCGATACAAAGGATAATACTATTGCTCCTTTTCTTCGTCGTTATTTTTTTTACAAAACACATGCCACTCTTCCATACTTTTCACCTATTCCCTTTTAAATGTGTCTATAAACGCATACAAAGGTGTATAGTTTGAATCATAAATATTAACATTAAGCTATTTATTATAGCCGATAAGGGGTGACATTTTTATATCCATATAGACATTGATATTGAGATACCTGGCGCAATGCTGCGAGCTTCAGCGAGTTCGATCCAGTTCACCTCAATTTACGAAGGCATCACACACAACACGTCATTCGCCGCTCCCTACGCGTTCCTTCTGGAAATTGACGGCACCAAAATTCTCCTCGACTGCGGCTGGGATGATGGCTTCAGCCCGATCTACCTCGAGACCCTTCGGCCGTATTTGACCGGGATTGATGCGGTTTTGCTGTCGTCGCCGGATATCGCGTCCTGCGGGGCCCTGCCTTACGTTATGGCGCATCTTCCCCCTGATGTTTGCGTTTCGGCCGCGAATTCGACCGCGAAGATTGGGATTCACAGCGTCCTTCACTGCTTTTTATACCAATTCCCCAACACCCACACCTTCACCCTCAACGGCGCCGTCGAGGAGCAGTTCACGATGTCGGTGGATAGCATTTACAGCGCCTTTCGGAGCACCCGCGAGCCCTACGGCGGGAAGGTTTCCGTGGGGACGAGGAAGAACGCCGTGGTGAATTGCCACGCCGTCTTTGCGGGCCGCATTCTGGGCGGCTACAGTTGGATTATTCGCTACCAAATCGACGAACTCTTCTATTGCCCTGATTTCTCGCTCAAGTCGTCCTACGTGTTGAAGCGCTTTAACGTCCCCACGACCGCGAATATTGTTTGCGTGGGAAGCTACCCCATGCACGCCGGCGTCGCCTCCGGGCTGAAGTACGAGGAGCAGCTCAAAAGCCTCTTTCGCGATATTCAGTACACCCTGCGCAGTGGCGGGACGGTTTTAATCCCCTGCACGGTTGCGGGGCGGGGGCTTGAGATCGTCAGCATTATTTCTAAACTTCTTCTCGAGCGGGGGGGGGATCGATATAAAGTCGTCCTCGCCGCCCTCCAGGCCCAGGAGATTATGGACAAGGCCACCACCATGACGGAGATCCTGCAGGAGAACATCGTCCTCGGAGATCAGGCGCTCTTTGCCAGCGTCATCGCGTGCAGTACGGCGGAGGATGTTTGGCGGATTGCGGGGCCGAAAGTCTGCGTGGCGGATGGGCCCACGTTGGATTACGGCCCGTCCGCGGAGATCCTGGACCATTTACTCCTCGCCGACCCCGCCGAAAGCGAGAATCTCGTCGTCTTTACGGAGCCCCTCCGCCCCGGGACCAACGCGCACGCCGTCGCGCAGTGCCCGAAGGACAAGGAGATCACCTTCTCCTACATCAAGCGCACCCGACTGGACAAGGAGAAGTTGGAGGAGTACTACGTCCAGCAAGAGCGCGAGCTCCTGGAGCGGCGGGCGCAGCTCGAGGCGGAAGGGACCTACAAAGTCAACGAGTACCCCGACGACGCCCCGTCCGGCGGGGATCTCAGCGAAGCGGATGAGGCGGATGGCCCGGCCCGGCCCCGCGCGCGCGCGCCGGCGACCACGCCGGGGCTGGTGCTCCCGCCCTACCTGACCTACGCCGCGCGGCACCTGAACTTCCCGGCGCTGGAGGT